GTCTCAAAAGGGAGCTTCCCTGGGGAGAAAAGTTCTTGTAATGAGAGATGAAGAACCAGTTTTGGATATATCAGGGCGTCTAGGAGCTTCCTTGGGGAGAAAAGATACAGTAATGAAAGATGAAGAACCAGTTCTGCATAGATCAAGGCGTCTCAGGAGCTTCCCTGGGGAGAAAATTTCTTGTAAAGAGAGATGAAGAACCAGTTTTGGATATATCAGGGCGTCTAGGAGCTTCCTTGGGGTGAAAAGGTACACTAATTGAAAGATGAAGAACAGTTCTGCATATATCAATGCGTCTCGAGCTTCCCTGGGGGAGAAAAGATCCTTTAATGAGAGATGAATAACCAGTTCTGCATAGATCAGGGCGTCTAGGAGCTTCCCTGGGGAGAAAAGATCTTGTAATGAGAGATGAAGAACCAGTTTTGGATATATCAGGGCGTCTATGAGCTTACCTTGGGGAGAAAAGGTACAGTAATGAAAGATGAAGAACCAGTTCTGCATAGATCAAGGCGTCTCGGAGCTTCCCTGGGGAGAAAATTTCTTGTAATGAGAGATGAAGAACCAGTTTTGGATATATCAGGGCGTCTAGGAGCTTCCTTGGGGAGAAAAGGTACAGTAATGAAAGATGAAGAAGCAGTTCTGCATATATCAAGGCGTCTCGGAGCTTCCCTGGGGAGAAAAGATCCTGTAATGAGAGATGAATAACCAGTTCTGCATAGATCAGGGCGTCTAGGAGCTTCTCTGGGGAGAAAAGTTCTTGTAATGAGAGATGAAGAACCAGTTTTGGATATATCAGGGCGTCTAGGGGCTTCCTTGGGGAGAAAAGGTACAGTAATGAAAGATGAAGAACCAGTTCTGCATAGATGAAGGCGTCTCGGAGCTTCCCTGGGGAGAAAAGTTCTTGTAATGAGAGATGAAGAACCAGTTTTGGATATATCAGGGCGTCTAGGAGCTTCCTTGGGGAGAAAAGGTACAGTAATGAAAGATGAAGAACCAGTTCTGCATATATCAAGGCGTCTCGGAGCTTCCCTGGGGAGAAAAGTTCTTGTAATGAGAGATGAAGAACCAGTTTTGGATATATCAGGGCGTCTAGTATCTTCCCTGGGGAGAAAAGTTCTTGTAATGAAAGATGAAGAACCAGTTTGGATATATCAAGGCGTCTAGGAGCTTCCCTGGGGAGAAAAGATCCTGTAATGAAAGATGAATAACCAGTTCTGCATAGATCAAGGCGTCTAGGAGCTTCCCTGGGGAAAAAGTTCTTGTAATGAGAGATGAAGAACCAGTTTTGGATATATCAGGGCGTCTAGGAGCTTCCTTGGGGAGAAAAGGTACAGTAATGAAAGATGAAGAACCAGTTCTGCATATATCAAAAGCGTCTCGGAGCTTCCCTGGGGGAAAAAGTTCTTGTAATGAGAGATGAAGAACCAGTTTTGGATATATCAGGGCGTCTTGGAGCTTCCTTGGGGAGAAAAGTTCTTAATTGAAAGATGAAGAACCAGTTTTGATATATCAATGCGTCTAGGAGCTTCCCTGGGGAGAAAAAGATCCAGTAATGAAAGATGAAGAACCAGTTCTGCATAGATCAGGGCGTCTAGGAGCTTCCCTGGGGAGAAAAAGTTCTTGTAATGAGAGATGAAGAACCAGTTTTGGATATATCAGGGCGTCTAGGAGCTTCCTTAGGGGAGAAAAGATACAGTAATGAAAGATGAAGAACCAGTTCTGCATAGATCAAGGCGTCTCGGAGCTTCCCTGGGGAGAAATTTCTTGTAATGAGAGATGAAGAACCAGTTTTGGATATATCAGGGCGTCTAGGAGCTTCCTTAGGGTGAAAAAAGATACAGTAATGGAAGATGAAGAACCAGTTCTGCATATATCAGTTCGGAGCTTCCCTGGGGAGAAAAAGATCCTGTAATGAGAGATGAATACCAGTTCTGCAATGCGTCTGGGGAGAAAGTTCTTGTAAGAGAGATGAAGAACCAGTTTTGGATATATCCTGGGGGGAGAAAAGATCCTTTAATGAAAGATGAAGAACCAGTTCTGCATAGATCAAGGCGTCTCAGGAGCTTCCCTGGGGAGAAAAGTTCTTGTAATGAGAGATGAAGAACCAGTTTTGGATATATCAGGGCGTCTATGAGCTTCCTTGGGGAGAGAAAGGTACAGTAATGAAAGATGAAGAACCAGTTCTGCATATATCAAGGCGTCTCAGGAGCTTCCCTGGGGAGAAAATTTCTTGTAATGAGAGTTGAAGAACCAGTTTTGGATATATCAGGGCGTCTAAGGAGCTTCCTTGGGGAGAAAAAGGTACAGTAATGAAAGATGAAGAACTAGTTCTGCATATATCAAGGCGTCTCGGAGCTTCCCTGGGGAGAAAAGATCCTGTAATGAGAGATGAATAACCAGTTCTGCATAGATCAGGGCGTCTAGGAGCTTCCCTGGGGAGAAAAGTTCTTGTAATGAGAGATGAAGAACCAGTTTTGGATATATCAGGGCGTCTAGGAGCTTCCTTGGGGAGAAAAGGTACAGTAATGAAAGATGAAGAACCAGTTCTGCATATATCAAGGCGTCTCGGAGCTTCCCTGGGGAGAAAAGTTCTTGTAATGTGAGATGAAGAACCAGTTTTGGATATATCAAGGCGTCTAGGAGCTTCCTTTGGGGAGAAAAGTTCTTGTAATGAAAGATGAAAACCAGTTTTGGATATATCAAGGCGTCTCGGAGCTTCCTGGGGAGAAAAGATCCTGTAATGAAAGATGAAGAACCAGTTCTGCATAGATCAAGGCGTCTCGGAGCTTCCCTGGGAGAAAAAGTTCTTGTAATGAGAGATGAAGAACCAGTTTTGGATATATCAGGGCGTCTAGGAGCTTCCTTTGGGGAAAAAAGGTACAGTAATGAAAAGATGAAGAAACAGTTTGGATATATCAAGGCGTTTTGGAGCTTCCTGGGGAGAAAAGATCCAGTAATGAGAGATGAATAACCAGTTCTGCATAGATCAGGGCGTCTAGGAGCTTCCCTGGGGAGAAAAGTTCCTGTAATGAGAGATGAAGAACCAGTTCTGCATATATCAGGGCGTCTAGTAGCTTCCCTGGGGAGAAAAGGTTCAGTAATGAAAGATGAAGAACCAGTTTGGATATATCAAGGCGTCTCGAGCTTCCCTGGGGGAGAAGTTCTTGTAATGAGAGATGAAGAACCAGTTTTGGATATATCAGAAAAATTTCTTGTAATAGGAAGAACCAGTTTGGATATATCAGGGCGTCTTTGGGAGGGGAGAAAAGGTTCTGCATAATCAAGGAAAGATGAAAACCAATAACCAGTTCTGCATATATCAAGGCGTCTAGGAGCTTCCCCTGGGGAGAAAAGTTCTTGTAATGAGAGATGAATAACCAGTTTTGGATATATCAGGGCGTCTCGGGAGCTTTCTTGGGAGAAAATGTACAGTAATGAGAGATGAAGAGCCAGTTCTGCATATATCAGGGCATCTAGGACCTTCCCTGGGGAAAAATGTCCTGTAATGAGAGATGAAGACCAGTTCTGAATATATCAGGGCGTCTAGGAGATTACCTGTGGGAGAAAATATCCGGTAATCCGAGATGAAGTCCCAGTTCTGCATATATCAGGGCGTCTAGAGCTTTCCTGGGGAGAAAAAGGTCCAGTAATGAGATGAAGACCCAGTTCTGCATATATCAGGGCATCTATGAGCTTCCCTGTGGGTAAAAATGTTCTTGTAATGAGAGATGAAGACCCAGTTTTGGATATATCAGGGCGTCTAGGAGCTTCCTTGGGGAGAAAAGGTACAGTAATGAAAGATGAAGAACCAGTTCTGCATATATCAAGGCGTCTCGGAGCTTCCCTGGGGAGAAAAGATCCTGTAATGAGAGATGAATAACCAGTTCTGCATAGATCAGGGCGTCTAGGAGCTTCCCTGGGGAGAAAAGTTCTTGTAATGAGAGATGAAGAACCAGTTTTGGATATATCAGGGCGTCTAGTAGCCTCCTTGGGGAGAAAAGGTACAGTAATGAAAGATGAAGAACCAGTTCTGCATATATCAAGGCGTCTCGGAGCTTCCCTGGGGAGAAAAGTTCTTGTAATGAGAGATGAAGAACCAGTTTTGGATATATCAAGGCGTCTAGGAGCTTCCTTGGGGAGAAAAGGTACAGTAATGAAAGATGAAAACCAGTTCTGCATATATCAAGGCGTCTCGGAGCTTCCTGGGGAGAAAAAGATCCTGTAATGAGAGATGAATAACCAGTTCTGCATAGATCAGGGCGTCTAGGAGCTTCCATGGGGAAAAAAGTTCTTGTAATGAGAGATGAAGAACCAGTTTTGGATATATCAGGGCGTCTAGGAGCTTTTCCTTGGGGAGAAAAGGTACAGTAATGAAAGATGAAGAACCAGTTCAGCATATATCAAGGGCGTCTCGGAGCTTCCCTGGGGAGAAAAGATCCAGTAATGAGAGATGAATAACCAGTTCTGCATAGATCAAGGCGTCTAGGGAGCTTCCTGGGGGAAAAAGTTCTGTAATGAGAGATGAAGAACCAGTTTTGATATATCAGGGCGTCTAGGAGCTTCCTGGGGAAAATGTTCTTGTAATGAAAGATGAAGAACCAGTTTTGGATATATCAAGGCGTCTCTGAGCTTCCTTGGGGAGAAAAGATCCAGTAATGAAAGATGAATAACCAGTTCTGCATAGATCTGGGAGGATCCGTCTGAGAGAGGAGCTTCCCTAGGGGAGAAAAGAAAGTTCTTGTAATGAGAGATGAAGAACCAGTTTTGGATATATCAGGGCGTCTAGGAGCTTCCTTGGGAGAAAAGTTCTTGTAATGAGAGATGAAGAACCAGTTTTGGATATATCAGGGCGTCTAGGAGCGTCTCCTTTGGGAGAAAAGTTACTGTAATGAAAGATGAAGAACCAGTTCTGCATATATCAAGGCGTCTCGGAGCTTCCCTGGGGGAGAAAAGTTCTTGTAATGAGAGATGAAGAACCAGTTTTGGATATATCAGGGCGTCTAGGAGCTTCCTTTGGGGAGAAAAGGTAGTAATGAAAGATGAAAACCAGTTCTGCATATATCAGGGCGTCTGGAGGGAGCTTCCCTGGGGAGAAAAGTTCCTGTAATGAGAGATGAAGAACCAGTTCTGCTGCATATATCAGGGCGTCTAGGAGCTTTCCTGGGGGGGCAAAGTTCTGCATACAGTAATGAGAGATGAAGAGCCAGTTCTGCATATATCAGGGCATCTAGGACCTTCCCTGCGGAAAAAATGTCCTGTAATGAGAGATGAAGACCCAGTTCTGAATATATCAGGGCGTCTAGGAGATTTCCTGTGGGTAAAATATCCTGTAATCCGAGATGAAGACCCAGTTCTGCATATATCAGGGCGTCTAGGAGCTTTCCTGGGGAGAAGAGGTACAGTAATGAGAGATGAAGACCCAGTTCTGCATATATCAGGGCATCTATGAGCTTCCCTGTGGGTAAAATGTCCTGTAATGAGAGATGAATAACCAGTTCTGCATAGATCTGGGCGTCTAGGAGCTTCCCTGGGGGAAAAGTTCTTGTAATGAGAGATGAAGAACCAGTTTTGGATATATCAGGGCGTCTAGGAGCTTCCTTGGGGAGAAAAGGTACAGTAATGAAAGATGAAGAACCAGTTCTGCATAGATCAAGGCGTCTCGGAGCTTCCCTGGGGAGAAAAGTTCTTGTAATGAGAGATGAAGGACCAGTTTTGGATATATCAGGGCGTCTAGGAGCTTCCTTGGGGAGAAAAGGTACAGTAATGAAAGATGAAGAACCAGTTCTGCATATATCAAGGCGTCTCGGAGCTTCCCTGGGGAGAAAAGATCCTGTAATGAGAGATGAATAACCAGTTCTGCATAGATCAGGGCGTCTAGGAGCTTCCATGGGGAGAAAAGTTCTTGTAATGAGAGATGAAGAACCAGTTTTGGATATATCAGGGCGTCTAGGAGCTTCCTTGGGGAGAATAGGTACAGTAATGAAAGATGAAGAACCAGTTCAGCATATATCAAGGCGTCTCGGAGCTTCCCTGGGGAGAAAAGATCCTGTAATGAGAGATGAATAACCAGTTCTGCATAGATCAAGGCGTCTAGGAGCTTCCCTGGGGAGACAAGTTCTTGTAATGAGAGATGAAGAACCAGTTTTGGATATATCAGGGCGTCTAGGAGCTTACTTGGGGACAAAATGTACAGTAATGAAAATGAAGAACCAGTTCTGCATATATCAAGGCGTCTCTGAGCTTCCCTGGGGAGAAAAGATCCTGTAATGAGAGATGAATAACCAGTTCTGCATAGATCAGGGCGTCTAGGAGCTTCCCTGGGGAGAAAAGTTCTTGTAATGAGAGATGAAGAACCAGTTTTGGATATATCAGGGCGTCTAGGAGCTTCCTTGGGGAGAAAAGGTACAGAAATGAAAGATGAAGAACCAGTTCTTCATAGATCAAGGCGTCTCGGAGCTTCCCTGGGGAGAAAATTTCTTGTAATGAGAGATGAAGAACCAGTTTTGGATATATCAGGGCGTCTAGAAGCTTCCTTGGGGAGAAAAGTTTCAGTAATGAAAGATGAAGAACCAGTTCTGCATATAACAAGGCGTCTCGGAGCTTCCCTGGGGAGAAAAGATCCTGTAATGAGAGATGAATAACCAGTTCTGCATAGATCAGGGCGTCTAGGAGCTTCCCTGGGGAAAAAAGTTCTTGTAATGAGAGATGAAGAACCAGTTTTAGATATATCAGGGCGTCTAGGAGCTTACTTGGGGAGAAAACGTACAGCAATGAAAGATTAAGAACCAGTTCTGCATATATCAAGGCGTCTCGGAGCTTCTCTGGGGAGAAAAGATCCTGTAAATAGAGATGAATAACTAGTTCTGCATAGATCAGGGCATCTAGGAGCTTCCCTGGAGAGAAAAGTTCTTGTAATGAGAGATGAAGAGCCAGTTCTGCATATATCAGGGCATCTAGGGACCTTCCCTGGGAAAAAATGTCCTTAATGAGAGATGAAGACCCAGTTCTGAATATATCAGGCGTCTAATGGTAAAATATCCTGTAATGAATAACCAGTTCTGCATATATCAGGGCGTCTAGGAGCTTCCCTGGGGAGAAAAGTTCTTGTAATGAAAGATGAAGAACCAGTTTTGCATATATCAGGGCGTCTAGGGCTTCCCCTGGGGAGAAAAGTTCTTGTAATGAGAGATGAAGAACCAGTTTGGATATATCAGGGCGTCTAGGAGCTTCCCTTGGGGAGAAAAGTTCTTGTAATGAATGAAGAACCATGAAGATATATCAAGTTCGTCTGCATATATCCAAGGCGTCTGAAAGATGAAGAACAAGTTCTGCATATATCAAGGCGAAAAGAGCTTCCCTGGGAGAAAAGTTCTTGTAATGTGAGATGAAGAACCAGTTTTGGATATATCAGGGCGTCTAGGAGCATCCTTGGGGAAAAAAGGTACAGTAATGAAAGATGAATAACCAGTTCTGCATATATCAAGGCGTCTCGGAGCTTCCCTGGTGAGAAAAGATCCTGTAATGAGAGATGAATAACCAGTTCTGCATAGATCAGGGCGTCTAGGATCTTCCCTGGGGAAAAAAGTTCTTGTAATGAGAGATGAAGAACCAGTTTTGGACATATCAGGGCGTCTAGGAGCTTCCTTGGGGAGAAAAGGTACAGTAATGAAAGATGAAGAAACAGTTCTGCATATATCAAGGCGTCTCGGAGCTTCCCTGGGGAGAAAATATCCTGTAATGAGAGATGAATAACCAGTTCTGCATAGATCAGGGCGTCTAGGAGCTTCCCTGGGGAGAAAAGTTATGGTAATGAGAGATGAAGAACCAGTTTTGGATATATCAGGGCGTCTAGGAGCTTCCTTGGGGAGAAAAGGTACAGTAATGAAAGATGAAGAAGCAGTTCTGCATATATCAATGCGTCTCCGAGCTTCCCTGGGGAGAAAAGTTCCTGTAATGAGAGATGAATAACCAGTTCTGCATAGATCAGGGCGTCTAGAATCTTCCCTGGGGAGAAAAGTTCTTGTAATGAGAGATGAAGAACAAGTTTTGGATATATCAGGGCGTCTAGGACCTTCCTTGGGGAGAAAAGTTACAGTAATGAAAGATGAAGAACCAGTTCTGCATAGATCAAGGCGTCTCGGTACTTCCCTGGGGAGAAAAGTTCTTGTAATGAGAGATGAATAACCAGTTTTGGATATATCAGGGCGTTTAGGAGTTTCCTTGGGGAGAAAAGGTACAGTAATGAAAGATGAAGAACCAGTTCTGCATATATCAAGGCGTCTCGGAGCTTCCCTGGGGAGAAAAGTTCTTGTAATGAGAGATGAAGAACCAGTTTTGGATATATCAGGGCGTCTAGGAGCTTCCTTGGGGAGAAAAGGTACAGTAATGAAAGATGCAGAACCAGTTCTGCATATATCAAGGCGTCTCTGAGCTTCCCTTGGGAGAAAAGGTCTTGTAATGAGAGATGAAGAACCAGTTTTGGATATATCAGGGCGTCTAGGAGCTTCCTTGGGGAGAAAAGGTACAGTAATGAAAGATGAAGAACCAGTTCTGCATATATCAAAGCGTCTCGGAGCTTCCCTGGGGAGAAAAGATCCTGTAATGTGAGATGAATAACCAGTTCTGCATAGATCAGGGCGTCTAGGAGCTTCCCTGGGGAGAAAAGTTCTTGTATTGAGAGATGAAGAACCAGTTTTGGATATATCAGTGCGTCTAGGAGCTTCCTTGGGGAGAAAAGATACAGTAATGAAAGATGAAGAACCAGTTCTGCATAGATCAAGGCGTCTCGGAGCTTCCCTGGTGAGAAAAGTTCTTGTAATGAGAGATGAAGAACCAGTTTTGGATATATCAGGGCGTCTAGGAGCTTTCTTGGGGAGAAAAGATACAGTAATGAAAGATGAAGTACCAGTTCTGCATAGATCAAGGCGTCTCGGAGCTTCCCTGGGGAGAAATTTCTTGTAATGAGAGATGAAGAACCAGTTTTGGATATATCAGGGCGTCTAGGAGCTTCCTTGGGGAGAAAAGGTACAGTAATGAAAGATGAAGAACCAGTTCTGCATATATCAAGGCGTCTCGGAGCTTCCCTGGGGAGAAAAGATCCTGTAATGAGAGATGAATAACCAGTTCTGCATAGATCAGGGCGTCTAGGAGCTTCCCTGCGGAGAAAAGGTCTTGTAATGAGAGATGAAGAACCAGTTTGGGATATATCAGGGCGTCTAGGAGCTTCCTTGGGGAGAAAAGGTACAGTAATGAAAGATGAAGAACCAGTTCTTCATAGATCAAGGCGTCTCGGAGCTTCCCTGGTGAGAAAAGTTCTTGTAATGAGAGATGAAGAACCAGTTTTGGATATATCAGGGCGTCTAGGAGCTTTCTTGGGGAGAAAAGATACAGTAATGAAAGATGAAGTACCAGTTCTGCATAGATCAAGGCGTCTCGGAGCTTCCCTGGGGAGAAATTTCTTGTAATGAGAGATGAAGAACCAGTTTTGGATATATCAGGGCGTCTAGGAGCTTCCTTGGGGAGAAAAGGTACAGTAATGAAAGATGAAGAACCAGTTCTGCATATATCAAGGCGTCTCGGAGCTTCCCTGGGGAGAAAAGATCCTGTAATGATAGATGAATAACCAGTTCTGCATAGATCAGGGCGTCTAGGAGCTTCCCTGGGGAGAAAAGGTCTTGTAATGAGAGATGAAGAACCAGTTTTGGATATATCAGTGCGTCTAGGAGCTTCCTTGGGGAGAAAAGGTACAGAAATGAAAGATGAAGAACCAGTTCTGCATATATCAAGGCGTCTCGGAGCTTCCCTGGGGAGAAAAGATCCTGTAATGAGAGATGAATAACCAGTTCTGCATAGATCTGGGCGTCTAGGAGCTTCCCTGGGGAGAAAAGTTCTTGTAATGAGAGATGAAGAACCAGTTTTGGATATATCAGGGCGTCTAGGAGCTTTCTTGGGGAGAAAAGATACAGTAATGAAAGATGAAGTACCAGTTCTGCATAGATCAAGGCGTCTCGGAGCTTCCCTGGGGAGAAAATTTCTTGTAATGAGAGATGAAGAACCAGTTTTGGATATATCAGGGCGTCTAGGAGCTTCCTTGGGGAGAAAAGGTACAGTAATGAAAGATGAAGAACCAGTTCTGCATATATCAAGGCGTCTCGGAGCTTCCCTGGGGAGAAAAGATCCTGTAATGTGAGATGAATAACCAGTTCTGCATAGATCTGGGCGTCTAGGAGCTTCCCTGGGGAGAAAATTTCTTGTAATGAGAGATGAAGAACCAGTTTTGGATATATCAGGGCGTCTAGGAGCTTCCTTGGGGAGAAAAGGTACAGTAATGAAAGATGAAGAACCAGTTCTGCATATATCAAAGCGTCTCGGAGCTTCGCTGGGGAGAAAAGATCCTGTAATGAGAGATGAATAACCAGTTCTGCATAGATCAGGGCGTCTCGGAGCTTCCCTGGTGAGAAAAGTTCTTGTAATGAGACATGAAGAACCAGTTTTGGATATATCAGGGCGTCTAGGAGCTTTCTTGGGGAGAAAAGATACAGTAATGAAAGATGAAGTACCAGTTCTGCATAGATCAAAGCGTCTCGGAGCTTCCCTGGGGAGAAAATTTCTTGTAATGAGAGATGAAGAACCAGTTTTGGATATATCAGGGCGTCTAGGAGCATCCTTGGGGAGAAAAGGTACAGTAATGAAAGATGAAGAACCAGTTCTGCATATATCAAAGCGTCTCGGAGCTTCCCTGGGGAGAAAAGATCCTGTAATGAGAGATGAATAACCAGTTCTGCATAGATCAGGGCGTCTCGGAGCTTCCCTGGTGAGAAAAGTTCTTGTAATGAGAGATGAAGAACCAGTTTTGGATATATCAGGGCGTCTAGGAGCTTTCTTGGGGAGAAAAGATACAGTAATGAAAGATGAAGTACCAGTTCTGCATAGATCAAGGCGTCTCGGAGCTTCCCTGGGGAGAAATTTCTTGTAATGAGAGATGAAGAACCAGTTTTGGATATATCAGGGCGTCTAGGAGCTTTCTTGGGGAGAAAAGATACAGTAATGAAAGATGAAGTACCAGTTCTGCATAGATCAAGGCGTCTCGGAGCTTCCCTGGGGAGAAATCTCTTGTAATGAGAGATGAAGAACCAGTTTTGGATATATCAGGGCGTCTAGGAGCTTCCTTGGGGAGAAAAGGTACAGTAATGAAAGATGAAGAACCAGTTCTGCATATATCAAGGCGTCTCGGAGCTTCCCTGGTGAGAAAAGTTCTTGTAATGAGAGATGAAGAACCAGTTTTGGATATATCAGGGCATCTAGGAGCTTTCTTGGGGAGAAAAGATACAGTAATGAAAGATGAAGTACCAGTTCTGCATAGATCAAGGCGTCTCGGAGCTTCCTGGGGAGAAATTTCTTGTAATGAGAGATGAAGAACCAGTTTTGGATATATCAGGGCGTCTAGGAGCTTCCTTGGGGAGAAAAGGTACAGTAATGAAAGATGAAGAACCAGTTCTGCATATATCAAGGCGTCTCGGAGCTTCCCTGGGGAGAAAAGATCCTGTAATGAGAGATGAATAACCAGTTCTGCATAGATCAGGGCGTCTAGGAGCTTCCCTGGGGAGAAAAGGTCTTGTAATGAGAGATGAAGAACCAGTTTTGGATATATCAGGGCGTCTAGGAGCTTCCTTGGGGAGAAAAGGTACAGTAATGAAAGATGAAGTACCAGTTCTGCATATATCAAAGCGTCTCGGAGCTTCCCTGGGGAGAAAAGATTCTGTAATGAGAGATGAATAACCAGTTCTGCATAGATCAGGGCGTCTAGGAGCTTCCCTGGGGAGAAAAGGTCTTGTATTGAGAGATGAAGAACCAGTTTTGGATATATCAGTGCGTCTAGGAGCTTCCTTGGGGAGAAAAGGTACAGTAATGAAAGATGAAGAACCAGTTCTGCATAGATCAAGGCGTCTCGGAGCTTCCCTGGTGAGAAAAGTTCTTGTAATGAGAGATGAAGAACCAGTTTTGGATATATCAGGGCGTCTAGGAGCTTCCTTGGGGAGAAAAGGTACAGTAATGAAAGATGTAGAACCAGTTCTGCATATATCAAAGCGTCTCGGAGCTTCCCTTGTGAGAAAAGATCCTGTAATGAGAGATGAATAACCAGTTCTGCATAGATCAGGGCGTCTAGGAGCTTCCCTGGGGAGAAAAGTTCGTGTATTGAGAGATGAAGAACCAGTTTTGGATATATCAGGGCGTCTAGGAGTTTCCTTGGGGAGAAAAGGTACAGTAATGAAAGATGTAGAACCAGTTCTGCATAGATCAAGGCGTCTCGGAGCTTCCCTGGGGAGAACAGTTCTTGTAATGAGAGATGAAGAACCTGTTTTGGATATATCAGGGCGTCTAGGAGCTTCCTTGGGGAGAAAAGATACAGTAATGAAAGATGAAGTACCAGTTCTGCATAGATCAAGGCGTCTCGGAGCTTCCCTGGGGAGAAATTTCTTGTAATGAGAGATGAAGAACCAGTTTTGGATATATCAGGGCGTCTAGGAGCTTCCTTGGGGTGAAAAGGTACACTAATGAAAGATGAAGAAACAGTTCTGCATATATCAATGCGTCTCGGAGCTTCCCTGGGGAGAAAAGATCATTTAATGAGAGATGAATAACCAATTCTGCATAGATCAGGGCGTCTAGGAGCTTCCCTGGGGAGAAAAGTTCTTGTAATGAGAGATGAAGAACCAGTTTTGGATATATGAGGGCGTCTATGAGCTACCTTGGGGAGAAAAGGTACAGTAATGAAAGATGAAGAACCAGTTCTGCATAGATCAAGGCGTCTCGGAGCTTCCCTGGGGAGAAAACTTCTTGTAATGAGAGATGAAGAACCAGTTTTGGATATATCAGGGCGTCTAGGAGCTTCCTTGGGGAGAAAAGGTACAGTAATGAAAGATGAAGAAGCAGTTCTGCATATATCAAGGCGTCTCGGAGCTTCCCTGGGGAGAAAAGATCCTGTAATGAGAGATGAATAACCAGTTCTGCATAGATCAGGGCGTCTAGGAGCTTCCCTGGGGAGAAAAGTTCTTGTAATGAGAGATGAAGAACCAGTTTTGGATATATCAGTGCGTCTAGGAGCTTCCTTGGGGAGAAAAGGTACAGTAATGAAAGATGAAGAACCAGTTCTGCATATATCAAAGCGTCTGGTAGCTTCCCTGGGGAGAAAAGATCCTGCAATGAGAGATGAATAACCAGTTCTGCATAGATCAGGGCGTCTAGGAGCTTCCCTGGGGAGAAAAGTTCTTGTAATGAGAGATGAAGAACCAGTTTTGGATATATCAGGGCGTCTAGGAGCTTCCTTGTGGGGAAAAGGTACAGTAATGAAAGATGAAGAACCACTTCTGCATAGATCAAGGCGTCTCGGAGCTTCCCTGGGGAGAAAAGTTCTTGTAATGAGAGATGAAGAACCAGTTTTGGATATATCAGGGCGTCTAGGAGCTTCCTTGGGGAGAATAGGTACAGTAATGAAAGATGAAGAACCAGTTCAGCATATATCAAGGCGTCTCGGAGCTTCCCTGGGGAGAAAAGTTCCTGTAATGAGAGATGAATAACCAGTTCTGCATAGATCAAGGCGTCTAGGAGCTTCCCTGGGGAGAAAAGTTCTTGTAATGAGAGATGAAGAACCAGTTTTGGATATATCAGGGCGTCTAGGAGCTACCTTGGGGACAAAATGTACAGTAATGAAAGATGAAGAACCAGTTCTGCATATATCAAGGCGTCTCTGAGCTTCCCTGGGGAGAAAAGATCCTGTAATGAGAGATGAATAACCAGTTCTGCATAGATCAGGGCGTCTAGGAGCTTCCCTGTGGAGAAAAGTTCTTGTAATGAGAGATGAAGAACCAGTTTTGGATATATCAGGGCGTCTAGGAGCTTCCTTGGGGAGAAAAGGTACAGAAATGAAAGATGAAGAACCAGTTCTTCATAGATCAAGGCGTCTCGGAGCTTCCCTGGGGAGAAAATTTCTTGTAATGAGAGATGAAGAACCAGTTTTGGATATATCAGGGCGTCTAGAAGCTTCCTTGGGGAGAAAAGTTTCAGTAATGAAAGATGAAGAACCAGTTCTGCATATATCAAGGCGACTCGGAGCTTCCCTGGGGAGAAAAGATCCTGTAATGAGAGATGAATAACCAGTTCTGCATAGATCAGGGCGTCTCGGAGCTTCCCTGGGGAGAACAGTTCTTGTAATGAGAGATGAAGAACCTGTTTTGGATATATCAGGGCGTCTAGGAGCTTCCTTGGGGAGAAAACGTATAGTAATGAAAGATGAAGAACCAGTTCTGCATAGATCAAAGCGTCTCGGAGCTTCCCTAGGGAGAAAAGTTCTTGTAATGATAGATGAAGTACCAGTTTTGGATATATCAGGGCGTCTAGGAGCTTCCTTGGGGAGAAAAGGTACACTAATGAAAGATGAAGAACCAGTTCTGCATATATCAAGGCGTCTCGGAGCTTCCCTGGGGAGAAAAGATCCTTTAATGAGAGATGAATAACCAGTTCTGCATAGATCAGGGCGTCTAGGAGCTTCCCTGGGGAGAAAAGTTCTTATAATGAGAGATGAAGAACCAGTTTTAGATATATCAGGGCGTCTAGGAGCTTCCTTGGGGAGAAAAGGTACAGTAATGAAAGATGAAGTACCAGTTCTGCATATATCAAGGCGTCTCGGAGCTTCCCTGGGGAGAAAAATCCTGTAATGAGAGATGAATAACCAGTTCTGCATAGATCATGGCGTCTAGGAGCTTCCCTGGGGAGAAAAGTTCTTGTAATGAGAGATGAAGCACCAGTTTTGGATATATCAGGGCGTCTCGGAGCTTCCCTGGGGAGAAATATCCTGTAATGAGAGATGAATAACCAGTTCTGCATAGATCAGGGCGTCTAGGAGCTTCCCTGGGGAGAAAAGTTCTTGTAATGAGAGATGAAGAACCAGTTTTGGATATATCAGGGCGTCAAGGAACTTCCTTGGGGAGAAAAGGTACAGTAATGAAAGATGAAAACCAGTTCTGCATAGATCAAGGCCTCTCGGAGCTTCCCTGGGGAGAAAAGTTCTTGTAATGAGAGATGAAGAACCAGTTTTGGATATATCAGGGCGTCTAGGAGCTTCCTTGTTAACAAAATATACAGTAATGAAAGATGAAGAACCAGTTCTACATATATCAAGGCGTCTCGGAGCTTCCCTGGGGAGAAAAGATCCTGTAATGAGAGATGAATAACCAGTTCTGCATAGATCAGGGCGTCTCGGAGCTTTCCTGGGGAGAAAATGTCCTGTAATGAGTGATGAAGACCCAGTTCTGCATATATCAGGGCATCTAGGACCTTCCCTGCGGAAAAAATGTCCTGTAATGAGAGATGAAGACCCAGTTCTGAATATATCAGGGCGTCTATGAGATTTCCTGTGGGTAAAATGTCCTGTAATGCGAGATGAAGACCCAGTTCTGCATATATCAGGGCGTCTAGGAGCTTTCCTGGGGAGAAGAGGTACAGTAATGAGAGATGAAGACCCAGTTCTGCATATATCAGGTCATCTAGGAGCTTCCCTGTGGGTAAAATGTCCTGTAATGAGAGATGAAGACCCAGTTCTGAATATATCATGGCGTCTAGGAGCTTCCCTGGTGAGAAAAGGTCCTGTAATGAGAGATGAAGACCCTGTTCTGCATATATCAAGGCGTCTAGGAGCTTCGCTGGTGAGAAAAGTCCTGTAATGAGAGATGAAGAACCAGTTCTGAATATATCAGGGCGTCTAGGAGCTTCCCTGGTGTAGAAAACTATTTGGCCCGAAGTTGGACGGGTCAGACTATTCACTAGGTTTCTTATAAACTGGAACAATAAAACATGACTTTCAGCAAGCAGGAAAGCATGAGGCAGCGAGTCATTTATCGTACAGTTTCGAGAATACAGGGACTAGTACGGGAATAGATTTCTTAATGACTATTACGGGGATGTGGTCCCATATGCATTATATGGAACAAGGTTAAAGACGATAGCAGAAACCATGGAAAATGTTATACGCATATCACTCACTGAGAATCAGTTCTAATTTGGAAGTTAGACAGCTGAGTCAAGAGTATCGTTTGAGAAGAACTTAGGGGCAAAACATTCGGCTTTATCAGAAGAGGATGATAATACCTCAGATCGATTGAAGTAGGGAGATAGCACACATTTAGTATCCTATTACAGAGACACCAGTAATGATGAGAGGCAAAGTTTTAGAGGATATGCGTTGCCTCATTCTCTCAGCTGACAAGGACTTAGCTTATTTGAGGACTCTCTAACATTTGTTACCAGCAGGAACAAATTGGCACCTGTTATGATGAGAGCTGTCCTGCTGGTATAGCCCGAAATAGTGGCGACTAAGCATGCTGTGTGCCTCATAGAGAGATTAGCAGTTATACCTAGTATTTCCGTGAAGGGATGGAAGCGTCCATGCCGGCTTTGAACCAAGGAGAAGCATTAGTGGTGCATTTTTCAACTAGGAGGTTGAAGATGTCAGCCCAAGGGGCGTCACAAAAAAAAAAAAAAAAATCCCGTATGAGACGCAATCAGCATGCTGGTACCGGTAAGAGTGCTTATCGATTAGGGGTTCCGTTTTAATAGATGGTTGGAATGACATATCAATAGTTAACACATAGTGGACCGAATTACGTAGACGAGAGTATTGTGAATATCGACCCCGAGAAACAATGCTGTGATCATAAGCAAGTTATCACCAAGACAATTCATGTGAACGCTGGAATCTTTTCGGTAAAAGGGAGCCAAGAACTCACTGGTTACAAGGGTAGAATTTCAAGTTGGTTTCACAAAGGGCAAATATATCTGGCGACCGTTTCAGGAGGATTCTACAGTACAACGGATGCTACTAATATTGGAGAATGAAAGATTGAGTGGCGTAATTAGTTTTTTGTTAGCTGGTTTAGATTCGAATCTTTTTGTTGTGATTTCAATAAGATATGTTTTGAGGAGTGAGGAAAAATACCACCATAGTTGCTACTATCATCAATGGCAATACAAACCTGCCAGCGTCTAGCTGAGAACCAAGACTAATGTGGCCTTAGGGTTGCCCACCTGAAATAAATGCAGGGAGAGCTACCAATGCGCTACATGGTACTACAGGTACCCAGATATTATGCAACTGAAGATCGAATCATCATCTCTAAACACTACCAAGAAGTCCCGGCTTCTAACAAACAGTCGGAAGCAGCATCCAGCAAACCTGGTATTCTTATAATGGAAGGTCACAGCCACTGGTTAGTCTGATCACCAAAGAGTTAAAATACAGTAAAATCCTTGAGGCCATGGTAAAATAAATAAATAAATAAATAAAGAAAGAAAGAAAGAGAATCGGTAAGAAAGAGAATCGGTAAATGATATCTTGAACAAGGATCAAGAGATGAACGTCTACTCCTGTTCAATAGACATGGAAGGAGTGGGCCTATCTACTCCTGTAAAAAATCATCAATTTTTATGAGCTTTAGAACAGGACTTACACGTCACTTATTGGAGGAGTATAGCAAAACCCTTGAAAATGTTAAATAGCTTAGTCGGAATCATTTTGGATTAACAAACATATTGACAGTCTTTACATTGATTGTATCCTGAACAGAAAACACTTAAACGCATCCCAGAAAAAAAAAAAAAAAAAAAACATAATAAAAAACTCTCATCACTGGATCTTGACCTCATTGTCCATTATATATATATATATATATATATATATATATATATATATATATATATATATATATTGTATATTTGCGAAGCAATTCCTCGTTTATACAAGTTTCGTTAAAGACAACTGACAAGTTACTGCAACTAAGATTTTTATTTACTTTTTTGTGTTTTTTATGGACATAAAATATGTAATAACTGTGCAGAGATTCGTCTATATTACTGAGATGAGGTATTATGTACATTATTTACATTATTCGGACTATTGTCCTCATCTTTGTCGCCATATTTATTACAACGTTTCGGCCGTTGTACGCTCCGGTCTTCTTCAGGTGATTGGAATGTCGAACTGAACCCTTTATTTCGCTCACTGTGTCCTCATGGACACATGTCATAGTGGATAAAGGTGTTGGTTAGATCCAGTGACAGGATTTAAAGAGTGTGATTTCAATACCTGGTTAAGGCAGTGGATAAATTGGAGAGGGGAAGTAACAGGAGATAACTGATAATTGACACCCATTAAACATGGCACGTGGAATTGGAACAGTCTACCCCAGTGAGCGAAATAAAGGGTTCCGTTCGACATTCCATCCACATGAAGAAGGCCGAAGCGTACAACAACCGAAACTTTGTAATAAATATGGCAACAATGATGACGACAACAGTCCGAATAATGTAAATAGTGTGAAAAGATTATTCATATCCGACCTGTTTCGCCGATTCTTTTTAGCCATTATCAAGGACGAATTTATTTTTAACTGAATTTTTTTTTGTTTTATGATTGTCTCTGAAGATATAGGAATGGTACATTTTCTAGACATGATCATGCAAATTCTTCGTATAGTTTTTACACACTATATGTGCAGAAAAGAAAACACTTATACGAACACAAGAACAATTAAATAAAATACTTAGTCGCAGTACATTTTCAGTCGCCTTTAATGAAATATATATATATATATATATATATATATATATATATATATATATATATATATATATATATACAAAGATAAGTATATTGAGAATCCACAGTTCCTAGAACTTACTTTTTCAAAAAATAAGTGCTCATTACAACGTAGTTATAATTATAATATTTTATTATAATATTTTACACTGCTACACAAAAACTTTCATGTTTCGTAACTATAATGTTCCTTCATCGGGCGATGATAAATAATATAGGAAGTTTACTTGTGTAGGATATAAAATATTGTAATATATATATATATATATATATATATATATATATATATATATATATATATATATATATATATATATATTACAAATATTAGAAATTAGGATTACTCCATCATATTGATGATGATAATTTCACCTTATAAATCAAAATAAATTTATAACTAATTTCAAACCCATACGGTAACCAAAAAAAAAAAAAAAATGAAACTAGCTTAAAACCAATTTTAAAAGCCAGACAGAAGTAAAGAAAAGAAATACCGGAAAAAAGAAAGAAAGGGTAAAAGGAATACTAAGAAGACATATTTTCTCTGTTTAAATAAAACACTGAGCTCTTTCTGTGAATTAGTTTCAATATTTGATATTATACTAATAGGATTCACTTCGATGATATATTAACTGGATTTTTAATACAAGTTTTTGAGGGATAGTTTTAGACTGATATAACGTGACAGAGGTGGTGGGAGAATTATAGAATCGTCTATCTTGGAAATGGAAGTCGTGATAAGATTGTTTTAAAACCAATTTAAATAATTTACGTAGGTTCAAGTGTACTCAGTTAAGAGACCAGATAATTTGACCTCTTAAATAATTTATAGACAGGAAAAGAAAAGAAGACAAATTTTAAAGCAGGGGAGGGGGAAAGAGGAAGAAGACGGAAGAAAGAAAGTGTTAAACAGGGGAGTGGGGGGGATATTAATATTATTAATAATATTATTAATCATGATCAATACACCTGTAATTATTATAAGACAATATATTAAAAATTATTAATTCATTTTCAAATTATAAAAGTGCAAAAAATTAATAATATTATTAATAACAATTAAAATAAAGGCTAAAATATGTTTAAATTTGAAATTTGAAAATTAAAAATAAATTCAAAGTTTATAAATGGTAAAATATATATTTAATATTAATTTAATATTAATAATCAGATTACTTACTACTTATAATAATATTATTAATCATAATAATAATGAAAAAGAATGATAATAATT